CGCGCAGGCGTCTCTGCCCACCGACCCGCCCTGCCAAAGCGCTGCCCCTTGGGTGCGCGCGCGCCCAGCGGGCAGTTCCGCCGCAGCTCCCCGAGGCCCAGCACCGGCTCCCAGTGCGGTCTGACCACAGCGGCCGGGGGGCGGGGCCAGCCACGCCCGGGGCCAGCCCCTCCGGCCAAAAGAGGCCCTTTAAGGCCTTGTTCTTTACTGACCTCTCACCCTTCGTTGTCTGACTTGGGGTCGGCCCCTCTCCCGGCCCTCCCCCCAGAAGCACCCTCGGACTGCCTCCCCCTGCCGGTGGCTGCAGAAGTAGAGGGCCTTTGTGAGGTGTGACCACCACGCCCACCCCTCCTGGCCACAGTCACTGGGTTCAGTGACCCCTGCAGCTGCTGTCAAAAACGCAGCGGGCGAGAGTTCGATCCCCAGCCAGGGAGGGGCCCCAAGGCGCGGCAGGCCCCTCCTGTCCCCCGCAGCCCCTTGGCAGTGCACTTGGCCCATCCGCCTGCGCTGCCCCCCAGTCTCTCTGGTGCACCCCCTCAGCCCCCCGCACCCCTGGCCTGTACCCCAGTTCTGTGTGCATGAACAAATGTCCAAAAAGTAACACGCCACCATGCTCCCCATGCCGCACACCCAGGGAGAGCAGACAGTGAGGTGGCCCTGCAGGTGCCCCCCTGAGCCCCACGGCTCAGGCCGCTGGCAGGGCCGCAGCTGCCCGCCCTCCATCCCCACAGCCTGCCCACACAGGCTCCACTGCGCGGGCCTCCCGCACAGCTCGGTCTCTGGGGGCCCTGACTGCAGGGTGCGGGGGCGCTTATGGAGACCTGGCTCTGCCTTCTTCCACTTCGGCCACGGAGACGCTCAGGCGAGAGGAGCCGGGGCCTGTCCTGACCACGCACAGAACAGAAAGCAGCTGGGCCAGGGAGGGACTGCCAGACAGCGCCAGAGACCCCCGGAGACTGCCTAGAACCCCCAGAGAGCGCTGGAAGGCACCAGAGAGCACTGGAGAAGCCCAGAGAATGCCAGAGAGCACTGGAGAGCACCAGTGACCCCCCAAGGGAGCAGAGACCCAGGAGAACACGGGAGATTGACAGAGGCCCTGGAGACCGCCGGCCGCGGTGGGTCCGGCCTCTCGGTGACTCGGACCCAGCCACCCGCAGGGCTGGCCAGGTGGGGGCCCCGGGACCACTCCCCGCCACTGGCCACTCTGAGCGTGCAGTTCCTGGCCATCATCTCAGGAGTGGATTTTCCTGGTGGTGCCACGGCCCCACCGCACACAGGAGAGGTCGGGGGGTGCTGCGCCTGGGCCCCACGCCCCAGCGCAGAAAGCAGCGGAGGAGCTGTGGAGGCCGCTGGCCTGGGCCTGCGTGGGCAGCAGGGGCCGCAGCCTCACAGGCCGAGCCCGCAGCCTGTTGTCCGTCAGCCTGCCCACTGCCAGGGCGAGCGGAGGGGCAGCGGGCGGCAGAGAGGCGCCGCCCACCTTGAGGAAGCGCTGCTCCAGCACCTCGTGCTCCCACTGCAGGCCCTTCAGCTCCTGCTCGGTGACCTTCAGCCGCGCCTTGGTGCACTGCAGAGGAGGAGGGCGGCCGTCAAGTGGCCACGCCCAGGGAAAGCTGCCCAAGGCCAGGCCCACGCCCCCAGGGAGGACGTGCCGCGGCCAAGGGCAGCCCCACCTTCACCTCGTCACCTCCGGGGCAGCTCCAGAAGCTCACCACCAAGACCTGCTTGTCCCTCTCATGGCTCCCCAGCTTCCGCTGCAGCTCCCCGATCTCCTCCCGCGCCTTCTGCAGGGGGTCCGCCAGCCGCTTGTTCTGCAGGGACACCTCCGCCATCTCCTTCTCCAGGCGGTCCTCCTTCTTCCGCATGTCCTCCATCTGCTCCTGTGGGTGCAGGCGCGGCTCAGCAGCGGGCCAGGCCGCGTCCGCACTGGGCCCAGCCCGTCTGGCGCAGCTCAGAGCCTGCCTGCGGTGTGGACGCGCCTGCCTCTCTAGGGGTGCAGAATCCACAAAACCAAAAGGGTCCCCGGGGCTTCTCCTCAGCGGCCACATCCCGGGACGGGCCTCACTGCGAGGCGCGCCCGCCCAGGAGCCCCCACCGCCCAGCCCAGGGAGCGGCCCGCCGGCCGCAGGGCACCTTGAGGGAGTTGATGAGCGCCAGGTTGTTGAGGGTGATGTCGTTGTAGTAGTTCTTGATGTCCGTGAAGGCCTCCTCGTGCCGCTGCATCAGCGTGTTGATCTGGCCGTTCTTGCGCTCCTCCACCTCGTGGATCTCCGTCTTCCTGCGCAGGTCCAGCTCGTCCCTGAGCGTCTTCATCTTCTTGTCGTACTTGGCCTCGATCTCTGGCAGGCGGCAGCACAGAGAGCAGCTCAGCGGGGCAGGGCGCAGGCGAGGCCCAGAGGCCCCGGCGAGGGGCCCAGCTCTGCCCCCACAGGCGAGGCCCGCCCCCAGCTGGGAGGCCACGCCCCATAGGGAAGACCACGCCCCCGTTGGGAAGGCCACGCCCCATTAGGGGAGGTCACGCCCCCGTGGGGAAGGCCACGCCCCAGTTGGAGGCCACGCCCCCGTGGGGAGGCCATGCCCCAGATGGAGGCCACGCCCCCGTGGGGAGGCCACGCCCCAGCTGGAGGCCACGCCCCCGTGGGGGAGGCCACGCCCCTGGGCCTGCCCTACTCCCCCAGGGAGCATAGCAGCTCCCACGTGCCCTGGCTCTGGGCTCCACTGCTCACCAGACAGACTGCACCAGGGTGAAGACTAGTCTACAACGCTGCCCACGAGACTGGGCACGGCGCCGCCTCTAACTGCACTTAAGTGAGCTGGCGGCAGCTGCCCACCCGGTGGTGGACACCGCACAGCAGGTGGTCCTGGGGGCCGGCAGCTGCCCCTCGGCCTTGGGTCTCAGTGTGCCGAGGCCGTCTGGACCTGGATCCCGGGCCAGGCGCACAGCCGCAGCAGCCTCACTGAGGGCCGGCCGACGCCCCACGTGGGCACTGACCTCGCACCTGCCTCTCGAAGTCGTTCCGCATCTTGGTGATCTCCTCGGTATGTTTCTGCAGACCCACAAGCCCATCAGTGGGGGTCACGGCAGCCTCTCCCGCGGCGCTCCCCGGCGCTGCTCCGGTTTCAGTGACCACAGACCCCGCCCTCCCAGGCTGGGGGAGCTGGAGGGCAAGGACCTCCCGCTGGCCACAGGGAGGCCGCCAGCTTCCCCTACAGAGAGCGCTCCCCAGAGGCCAGCTTCAGGGCGGCTCCCATGATCATAAAAAAAAAAAAATTATACAAAAATTCTGAATAAAAAGCTTCCATTATTCTCAGAGAAGCCCTTTTAGGCAACAGAGAGGCTAGCCATATAGGGACCCCACACGGGGGTCTGGACAGACGTGGCCGAATCATGGGAACATGGGATGGGGCCGCCAGGAGCACCACAATCCTGGGGTCCAAGACACCTGCGGCTTCCCAGGAAGTCTCCCAGCCACCATGGAGGCTGTGCTGCCCCCAGGCATGAGGCAAATAACCCCACAGCCAGGCACGAGGCAAGTAACGCTCTGAAAACCAAAGTCACTATCAAAAGCATCATTGAGGCCACAAAAGCTAAAGCAATCCTGAAGGAGAAAAGGAGAGAAGACAAGACATCATGTTCCTGACTGCAAAATATACTCTAAAGCAACAGTAATTAAAACAATGTGGGGCCCTCCCTGGTGGCGCAGCAGGTTAAAGCACCACACTAAAAAGCTAAAGCCACTGCAGCGTGAGCTCGATCCCTGCCCCGGAGGTGACCACATGGCGCGGCAGACCTCTCCTGACCACCCGCTGCTCCCCTCAGCAGTGCACTTGGTCAGCTGGCCTGTTCTGCTCCCCGCTCTGTCTCTGGTGAATCCTTTCACTGCCCCTGCACCTCTAGCCTGTGCTCCACCCAGTTCCGTGTGCATAAGTAAACATATCTTTAAAAACAAAATGTGGTATTGAAGGTCTCCCTGATGACCTAGAGGTGAAGTCTCAGGTTGTCACCACGTGGCCCTGCCAGGGAGTGACCCTCAGGGCCCAGCAGACACTTCCTGTCCCCCCACGGCCCCACCTGTCCTGCGCCCCACGCTATCTCTGGTGAAGCCTCTCACCACCCCTGCACCCCTGCCTATACCTCAGCTCTTGCAGCATAGGTAAATAAGTCTTTAGCAAATACACAGGTAAAAATACAGCCCACAGCGGGGGAGAAAATATTTACACAGCCCCAGAGTGAACGGCCACGACCGGCGGAAAACGGTGTTCGCCGTAACAGCAATGCCGAGGCCCAGTTACACTCGGCAGCAGGCGCCACACGCACCCAAGGGGCCCAGGAAAGCCGCGAGTGCGGGGAGCCCCGCGCC